ATAGCCATCATTAACACCAACACCACAGTTCTTACAATCCATATAATAATATTAATAGTATTAATCATAATAATAATGATGATAATAATGATAATAATGATAATAATAATAATAATAATAAATGATAATAATAATAATAATAATAATAATAATAATAATAATAGTTAATAAATAACAACAATAAAAATAACAATAATAATAAAAACACAAAAATAATCATGTCATAAATAACAATATGACAAATAACACAAATACTAGTACACTATACTAATAATAATAATAAACGATAATATTAATGATGATAATATTACCATAATAACAACAGTAATATGAATAATAAAATAACAACTACTACACTAACATTACAAATAATAATGATAACAGAATAACAACTATAATAATGATAAAATATAATAACAATAATAACAATAATAATAATAATAATAATAAATATGAAAATGATGATGATAAAAGAATAAAAATAACAAAAACAGTAATGATGATATTAATAATAACAATACTATTATTACAACAACTACTACTACTAATCATAACAATAACAGTATTATCAAAAATACAATAACAACATCAGTAAACATAATAATAGAAACAAAAACAATAATAACAACTACAAAAGCAATAGCACTGATGATGATTATGATAACAATAATATCAATAAAAATGATAACAATAATAATAACAATAATAATAATAATAATAATATTAACAATGATAGCATTAAATAATAATAATAATAAATAATAATAATAATAATAATAATAATAATAATAATAATAATAATAATAATAATAATAATAATAATAATAATAATAACAATAATAATAATAATAATAGTAATAATAACAATAACAGCAGTAATGATTACAATATCAATAACAACAATAATAACAATAATAATGATGATGATTATAATAATATAAATAATAATAACAACAATAATAACAATGATGATGATGATGATTATAATAATATAAAAAATAATAACAATAATGACAATAATAATAATAATAATAATAATAATAATAATAATAATAATAATAATAGTGTTTAACAACAAAATAATGATAATAATAACGACAATAACAATAATGATAATAATGATAATGGTAATGGTAATGATAATCATAATGATTATGATGATGATAATAATAATAATAATGAAAATCATAATGATGATATAATAATAATGTAATAAATAATAAACAATAATTAATCATGATACCAATGACACTATTATTAGCAATAATAATCACAACATAATGATTGTAATAATAATAGCAATTATGATGATTGTAGCAATAATAACAGCAAATACCAGTGAAAGATGATCACAACGATAATCTTACTAGTAATGATAATCATGCAAGTGATTAATAATTGATTAATAGTTGTAATAACAATAATGATAATAATTATAATCAGAATATCAATGATGAAAATACATATCAAAAAGTGAGAAAAAAATAATATTAATAATGAGAAACAACAACTTTAGTTGTGATAATAAAATTCACAATAACAAAACAATCCTAACAGCCTAACATCAATGAAAATGATGATGAACAGAAATGAAAACCAAGGCCGTAATACGATCTTTAAGATATGCCATCTTATCAAAGTGAAACAACCAGAATACAGAAGTTAATGACCATGATGTTGGTGACAGCAGCAGCAATGACAATGACAAAAACAATATTATTGATGATGATGATGGCTAAGGCAAAGACGAAAGCAACATTAACGATAAAGATAAAGACAATAAAGATAAAGAAGATAATGTACATGATGATAGTCATATCAATGTTTCAGTGACAGTGACAATGACAACTAATGGAAAGTTACCAAACTCAATACATAATGAATAATCTAATTAAGTTTTGTAAGCAACATTTCAATTATTGAATCTTCGTCACATAATGTCCAAGCAAAATGATACATTTTCCAAGATGAGATTCCAGTACGCTAAACCTAGTAGTGATATATACAAAAGTAACTACAAAGAATATGACAATAACAATAGGAGTGATGGTGATGATAATAATAAAAGAATCATACAGATATCACATTATTATATTATATATATCAAAATCATCACTGGTAAACGTTTAGAAGATACCCATGCATCTGTTACTGGTTTCGAGCTGATTGGCATAGTCTCTGCACCTGTTAGCACTCCAGCAAAGGCTAACAAATACCTCTACATAAATACTAATACGGTAAAGCTTGTAAACCTCCCTGGTGATTTGTTGTTAAAAATGGGACAAGTCCAAGCTCTATCTTGTGAAAATATATTCTTCTGTGACAATTTTTAGCCTCCTGAAGCTCAGACATTTTAGTGACAACCTAGAAATGCGTCACTCCCATACTTGACAAAAGACCATAGGACTAATGCGTCACTCATGTTCGACTATAGACTGTAGGCTTACTGTGTCACTCCCATGTTCCTACTGATTGTATGGCTATCATCACAAGCTTTATATGTATTTGAATAGCATGTACCCATTAAATTGTGAAAAATCATAGTCTCAAAGCCATGGCAGGGTTCTTCTAAATATCTGACTTATGATATGATATTTTTACTTATAATTACATGTCAACATAACAAAAAAATGTCATAAAGAAAATGTAGTCTCTTGATATTAGCATGTACATAAATATCTATACTCAAATGTAAAAAATAACTACTACAAACATGCCTTAGGAACTATAAAATCTAATCATCCATAAGCCGAACACACTCTTTCCTATTATCAATCTTCCCATCATTCTTATCTTCTCACTATCAGCTGAATGATATCCAGAAACAACGGCTTCTAATACTCGTTAAAAAAGAAAAACACACCAATGTCTTAAATTTCTCAAGAACAATTTTCGGGATTTGTCGTCTCATGAAATGAACAGTTGGCATGATTGCTGAATACATGAAAAACTTCATTATAATAATATTGACAACCACTCATATTCACTCTGGCTATACTTATATGAGCACATCTGTTCAAAAATTTATCATTTTCATCATTCAAGGTATGTATAATCACTGTACACCTTTCTGCAATTTTGTTATCTTCACTAAATATCTTTCTTTTGTCTAATATCGCCACAACAAGCTTCACTTTAATCTCCCTTTTTCCTGTATTCGATACAGCATACCAGCACCATTCACAGATCAGAACTATTTCAGAACCAACATTCCATACTAAGTTTGCGACAGCGTAATGACGTGCAGGTGTTACGTCAAGTCACTTTCATTTTCAACAGTGTTGTTCACTTCCCGCAACTTGGATGTCATCATCTGGGAGCTTCTTGCCGAGAATATTATTTGGATACACTGAAACGTTGCTTCACACAATTGATTAAATGAAAAGAAAAAAGAAAAAGAAAACTAAAACTCCTCTATGCCATAAGAATACATATGACTTCGCCCAAGCAAACTAAATCAAGTGAAATCACAAACTAAAGGGAATTAGGGAACAAAAACACCTAGTTTAGTCTACCCTTAAAAAGTCTACTCTGCAAGGTGGTTCTATCTACTCTGTCTAGCATCACGTGCAATAATGACTGAGACTCACTTTCACCTTCAATCAACCCTTGAATATTAGTGAAAGAGGAATTATATGCTTTTTTCCACCTCGAAATGTTTAATTTAAGAGCAAAAGACTCGGTTTTCGTGCCTGACTTCATACTAATGAGGTTCAAAAGGAGATCGTGTTTTTGCATCTAACATTGTTCTTAAACCCAAAATAAAATGCCAATGTGGAAGTTATGCACCCAATACACCGTCCAGCAAAACCTGCAGGAGCAATTTAATCTGGCACTGACTCTTATTTATAAAAAAGCAGACGACTCTACTGTGGCTGCAGCATCCAGATGTAAACATTGGTCATTTACTTACTCTGTACGTGTAGTAGGCCTACGGAAAATTGCCTGAGTTCTGGAATTTCCTTCAGTATTTCGTCCGTAACTAAATGGATTCCTCTGTGCTGCGGCCGGAGCTTGATTTTTCTCTGAAACCACGCCGACCCGATTTGTATTCCTCTGCTGGAGGAGGCCATGTTTGCTCTGACCATTGACAGGGCGAGCGGCGGCTTCTCTCTCTCTCTCCTGCCTCTCCTCGCGGCCTCGCTCGCTCGGCCCTGGATCCCGACACTATTATCTAACCCGTGTAAAATAACGACGACATGTCCCCGCACACGACGAGATATTTGAGCAAGACATTTACAAAAAAAAAT